TTGAAAAAGCAGTCTTTTCTCTTTTTCTTTTTTTTTTTTTTTTATATATTTATTTATTTATTTATTTATATTCTCAAGGGAAAAATCATCAGAAGTGAAGTCATCTTGATTTGAAAGAACATTTTGACCAGCCAGCACACCAAGCCCATTAGGATATTAGAACAGTTCTCAGTGTTTATGACAAGGATAATTCTTGTTATTTCAGAGCCAACTCCCGTCACTACTAATTGTTGACTACTTCTTACGTTCTGTACACCAACCTTGAATGCAGATTGTCCTGAAAAAAAGAACAATTAAGGTAGACTTTTTTTCATTGCTTCTTTTAAAGGGTCAGTTCCAGATATCCCTTCTTCACTACCATGGAAGTTGTCTTATCTGTGAGACAGCTTCTGAGAAGTTTCCCAGATGTGAAAGTAAAGCGACGGGGTACTAACAAAACAATGATCATTAAAATAGCAAGAATAAAGTAGATCAAAGGAAAAGAAAAAGCATGTAATATGTAACTGCTAAAGCTCATTCAAATGCAGTCCACCTTGACATGCTGTAATAGATGCCCTCCTTAGTTACACACTCAGACTGAGGCTACATCAGCAGTTTTGCAGTATGATGCCTAATTGGGAGCGTTGTCTATGGTAGAGTGAAATGCTCATTGTCATAGATACTTTCTTTTGTGCCTGCTGAGTTTCTATCAAGTAACTTTGGAGTAATTTCTTTTTGTGAAACCTAACCTACCAAATGCCCCTTAATGAGCTCAGAGCGCCAAGGTGATGTGACCCCAGCATGCTTGTCAGCTGTCCCCAGGCAGAGGCTGATTTGCATTCAGACCAGTCTGCCTACAGAGACAGGGCTTCTTAACTGTCTGTCAGGTGCTCACATTAAATGTAGGACAGATCTACTGTGGAGTTCAACTGTCTCCTACATATTAAAGAAGAAATTGTTTAAAGGTACTGTGTATGCATCTCTCTAACTGAAAAAATAAAGCAGATTAATTTATGAGAAAGTTATAACATATACCAAGCTTTAACCTAGATCAGATATGATACTTAGGTCTTGTTTAGTTCTGTACATTATCCAAAATAAGTCTACGCTTTGGTCATGTTGATTCTAAAAACTTGCAACTGTTATTCATGAAATATCAATCACAAATGGAAAACAATTACTTTAGAGTCATGTAATGGTCCATAGACCATTTCTGACATCTCTGACTGATCTGGACTTCAAGGACATCAGAATATGTATGTGTGCTCCTATTCATACTGAAAAACACAGGGTATTACCACTGGGACTGAATGAAATTCTCATATATAAGTAACAACATTCCTAAACAAAAATAATTTAAAAAAATTAGTGAAAATGTCTCTTTCAGTGGAAACTAGCTGATGCCTCAAACAAATCAGTATTTCTCTTCATCTGCACATCAAAGCACAGTGACAGACATCACTCTAATCCTATATTTGCTTCTGCATGTGTCTACTATTCACTGGATTCACTACCATCTACCCTCTCCCTAGCATTATACTTGCATCCTACATTTAGTTCTTATCAGTTGATTACTGGCTGTTTCTGATAACAACATACTGCAAGGATTCATCAGATATATTGGACTTAAGGTTAAGTTTCCTTTCCTTGACCCTGCTGGCTACTGTGTATGCACTGAGATATAAAACACTTTTATTTTGCTTAGTTTGATTTTGTATGACTGGACTCTGAGAATTCCTCAGTAATGTGTTAACAGACAAGCTCAAATATTGTTCTGCATTTTCTTGTTGACTGACGGTTTTACTCAATTCCTCAAATCCTTCCTTGTATTGGTATGAAAGTCTCTCTTCTCATTACCTAGTAATTCAATGTGATCTATTGTCTTTCCCTATTCCCTTTTTAATAATATCATCAAGGCAATCCAGAAATCAGCTCATAAAGTATTCATAGGGTCCTACTTTGATTATATGAACAATGCAACTTTTCATCTAAAAGCAGGAGTTTGTATTAGAGTCTGTCAAATAGTAAACCTCTGACATTTTCCTAAAATAAAACGTTCAAATAATTTATTTTCTTTGATTCATCAGTTAGGATTCTCACTGAAATACACATTATCTGAGAACAAGGTACATGGTCACACGCAGGCATCTGTAGCAGCATACAGTACTTCCTTATCCCCTCTTCATAAGATTGTTACAGACAACTATACAGCAAAGAGAATCTTCATTTTATTTTCTTTAACACAGACTTGTATATCTCAGGAATCTGGTGTGAGGAGGGACACAGCCTGCTGCTACAACTCTCTCCATCTCCACTGAATGTGAGATCTCATCCCAGGAAAGTTTGTTTACCATGTAGCCCCTGTAAGTGGGAAAGGAGTACCTATTGCTAAATTGAGCCAAGAGCATTTTCACATTGTGCCTGAGACCTGATGGGAAGAAAAAAAAGGAGAAACTGTGATGTCCATGTTTGGATATCTCTTACAAGAACCAACGTGGTTTTAAATTTTTCAGTCTTGTCATTGTTTGAAATATGAACAAGGAGAGAGAAAGGACATGTTACAAAAGAAGAATTCCTATCAGGTTAGACAGAGAATGCTCCCACCAAAATGCATTCTGGATCAGGTTCAATATATAAACTAGGTCAGGAAGTTAGTTTGCTGGATGGAGATTATAGATTTTGTGACAATGTTCTGCATAATCTGATTTCACAGACTAGTGTAGAAGAAACTCCTAACTTGAGTCAGGAGCTAAATTCAGATTTTAACAAGATTTCTAATGAGCCTTAAACAATATTTAGAGAATTGCCTTGCTTAGACTCCTAAAAAAGAAATATGATATTCTGTATAATCCTCAGATGGTAATGTTCATTTTTCTGAATAAATGTACATGCACATAAGCAGAACTTGGTTTTACCTTAGTTCTGTGTATTTTTGCAAAGGCCATGATTATCTTCAGCAAATGTGACACCCATCTCCCTTGACTTTGCCCCCCTTAAAGTGAGTGACTAATTTCCAATACAGTTGCCTAGAGCTATACTTGCTGTAAGATATTTGTGCATATGACAGCTTTTGCCTGCTTTCCAGAATGAATGTTTTGCATATACAAGGGACACAGAGACTACCAAGCAGTTCTCTTTCTGGCCACTGGGCTGTTGTTGTGGAAAATTGATTTCCAGTTGGATTCTCTCACTTCCTCTGCTTTTATATTTTGCTTTCAGAATATGAGCCTATGATTGAGGGTGAGCATAAATAGCAGCAAAGGAAGTAAGGCATGGAGGCGAGAGGGCAGGTGTTAGGAGCTGAAATGGAAACAGTGAGGGGCAGGCAATCATACATATACAGTTATACAAACAGATATGTCTGTGTAGAGTCCACAGTCTCACGATTTTGCTACATAGAACAAAACCAAAATTCAGACATTTATATTTTCCCCAGTTTTCTCTTCTTACCTATACCTGACTGAGCCTTTATTATTTTATTTCAATTTGAATAGCAAGACAAGTGAAAGCAATCCCGACTTCTCAATGTTGATTAGCTCTGTGCTTCGGGTATTCAGCTGAGATGATACCTCCCACATCTCAAGCAAGTTGCATAGCTGTCAAAATACAGATAGCCCAAAATATTTAACTGTTCATGTAACATAGAACTGCTCCAGCAGAAGAGAAAGAAGCAATAAAGAAGAGCAAGGGTTTTGCCATATTATCACACATCCTAGCATCCTTTACTAACCACTGAGCTATTGTGGGCAGCTATTTTGTTGATAAGAATGTGATTCTACAGAATATTTTGGTACTCATGACAGAGTATTTTTGAAGAAATCAGGTTTTCTTTAAAATGTTTTCATCAGCCTTAGCAAGGAGGATGTTCTGGAGGACAGACTGAAGGAGTAGACAGAGGGTTAGAAGGATGATCAGAAATGCACTAACTACTCAGCATTGAGTAATCAAAACTTGCCAGTGCAAAAGATTTGGTCAGTAGAGCTGAAGAAGAAAGGGGACGGAGTGTTGATTGTAAGCTTTGTCTAGAAAAGGCTAACATTTTCAGACATGTGATGGGTTTGAAGACTAGAGGGAAGAGAAAAATCCTGGTTGTGACTGTAAACTTTCAGTGAACCTTCACTTCTGCATCTTGTGCACTGGATAGATTTCTTTTCTTATACTTTGCCACAGAGCCAGGTGCTTTTATCTCCTGGGGGGAAGATGAGAAGAGCAAATGCCAGCCCATGTAGTGGAGAAGAGGTGACTATAGGTTCCCTAGTAAGAACTGTTTAAGATGGTTTCTGATTTCATGTGATGATGACATTTATGTAGAGGTATGCTGGCTCGAGGGTACTTTTTTTCTAATTTCATTTTCAAGCTCTTGCCCACATATATAACTCCACAGCTGTGAAATCGCAAACAATGCAATGAAAAGATTGCTCAGGTTTAAAATCATTATTCTTATTTAAACTGTAAATATTTTTGTACCTCTAAATGGTTTTAAAAAGGTATTCGTTTTCAGTTTTATAAAATCTCATTTAAAATCACAGATTTTTTGAGCTGTTTGTTTCCATGAATCAGACATAGAAAAAATTTGATCTGCTTAATATTTTTTCATATTACCTTCCTGCATTTAGACTACATAAACTATTACTATTTACATTTTTAACAGTGTTCTGTAATACTCAAACGAACTTCACAGGTATATGTGATAATTGCAGCAAATCAGAATAGTACCAAAAAAATCCAAACTGAAGAAGTTACCGGTTTCATAGGTTTAAAGTGGTGTCTTAGTTGGGTCTGAACTGTGTCTAAGAATCAAAGTGTAGAAAATCACCTAAATTTACCCTCCCCCTTAGTCAGCAGTAAGCTTCATAGGACCCTCCCCAAACCAAATAAGGCCAGGAAGAATGTGCTAAGCACTGAGTGTGCTAAGAATAAAGTTGAGCTGGGATGGATAAGGTTACTTTGAACTCTATATTTCATGTTTCCTGACATACCCCCCAAAGAACTACAATTATGCTAGCAAGGCTGCAGGATCATTAAACAGTTCTTTCCCAGTTATTTTGCTTTTTGCTGCCTTTCCATGCGTTCCTATCCTGTTTAGAGCTGGTATTTTATACTTTTTATTTGTAGTGTGCATGGTTCTACAGATATTAAGAAAAACATGCTGAAGATTCACCGTGGGGCATGGCTATTTCTGTTAGAAGCTGATACTTAAGGCTGAGCTTTAAGTGTTGACTCTGGAAGGCCTTAGGTTGCTCTGGAAGGGCAGGAGTCTGCAGAGGAAACAGAAAGTTCAGAGGGGTGCAAAAGAAGAAGGAACAGAATTAGAAAAAGCAGAGGACCTCCCTTGTTCTCACTCTGCAGCTCCTGCAAGAGCCAGAAACCCAGAAGTATTATCTAAGCTTCCACAGTAGATCTTGACCTTTTTAACAGAGTATCTCTTACCATCACCACCATGGCCGAGATTGCAGCAGAAGGTACAGTAACTATTTTCAAATATAATTAACCAAAAAATGATATGTACTTTGGCAGTGTAAATGAGCTAGCATGTCAATATGATTTGTTGCTCTTAGCAAATACCATTTTCACTCCAGGATCATTTAATCTTGTTTGTCAGATTGCTTTGTACTTTTCTTACCTGTTTTTTCTTTTCTCTTTTTCACTCCTGTAGTCAGAGTTTGTACCAGTTCCTGAAGCTAGATCTCTGTACACCTCTAAAAATAGCGTTAGTCTCATTTGCAGAACATTGCTTAGGCAGCTCTGTTAGAGTGATACAAGAAGGGGAATGTCTGAATATCAGGTGGTTCCACACTCAAGCCTTTGCTCAGGTAAAGCTTTGGTAGTTGCTTATAACCAGAGATTTGCCAGAGTCAAACCAGCTTGGTTTGGTGGCCCTGATTTTTCTAGAAAGAGCACAGAGTATTTGTGAACTGTACATGAAGTTACTGACGGGTAAAAGCTATCCACTCTGCAAACCTTATTCAGGTAAACTTCTAAAGGAATCAGTGAAAATTATGCTGAAATAAGTATGCCAGAGCTAGGTCTGCAAGAATGAAAGCCAATTGTATTAACCAATAAATACATATTCTAAAATATGAATATTTCATGTACTTTAATATTTCCTGACCATTCATATTTAAATAACATTTTAGATGCATAACAATATTTTATCAACCACAGTCAGACAGGGGATATATTTAAAATGCAACCTTCTTTAAATTTAATACTGAATATTTTAGTTGAATTTCATTCCAGCCTTTTTTTTTTTTTTTTTTTTGTTTATTCAAATTTAATAATGACAATACAAAAAAAAATGCTTTTAAGCAGTCTTCTGAAAGCTATTTTTATTGTTCTTGCCAAGGTTATGTGGCATTTCGGTGCATGAAAGTTGTACTTTTCACCTTCCGTTTTTCATTGTTAATATTTGTAAGAGGATCTGCATTAAACACTATTAGAGAGTGAGCCTGTTGTCTTCTAAAGGATTGATGTTAGACCTGTCTCAAACTGTACAATACTTGCCTTATGTCTGGTTAGCTACATCAAGGAGATGATGTGCGTATGATTTTTTAATCAGCAGTTGGACGCATCTATAATTTGCTTCTGGCAGCAAACACTACCAAAACAGGTGGCTTGGCCTGACAGCCCTAACCCAAATGCTAGCACTAGTTTATCTGGATATTCTTAAACGGGTTGGTTGGAAATACTGGTTATTTTGTAACTGCTATCAGGGAAATCTGTGAAATTAGATTTGTCTTGCAAAATTTCTGCATTAATATCATTAGTGTCAGAGGAGCAGTATGGAAGTATCTCTTGCAAGTCTCTCCAAGCAAATAACCCCCCCCCAAATTAACAAGATTTTCAGTCGAAAATTAATAGCTAAAATAGAAGACTTTTCAATCAGTCTGGAAGTGACTTTTCAGTCATTTAGCTTTTTAAATAAGAAAATAAAAGACCTTAAAATAAAATAAAAATATAACAAAGAGTCAGAAAATATTTTTATAGTGATTGTATAGTGTTTTTATACTATAAGCAGTATATACTATAAACAATACTGTGTGTCTTCTGTGTTTTTTCTGTGCAAAGCAGTAGATTTCAGATGATAAGGGACGTCCACAGAAACCTGACATTCAGCATGACAGAGAAATAAGCACTCTAATTTAGTTAAGTTTGGGGTTTTTTTCTTATATTTTGGATGGACTTATGTTGATTGGCTGATTTTTAAACTCTGTATCCATGAGATGGAAATTTTACTTATGGCATAAAACTAAGAATTCAGCCTGGGGCTACTGTTTCACTGCAGTTTATTTTCCTCTGGGGCTAAAACTGGCACTCACAACACGATATGAACATTCAGATCTAAACTTCAGCAACATATCGTCTGAACAAATAAAAAACAATTAAAATGCCTCTTGCTTCACACAATTCCTGTTTGATTTTATTTTGGTTTATACTACATCCTAGATTGTGATTTGCTGGGGTCTTCATGATGTTGCTCTTATTATTAGGATTAAAGTACTTGCTCCTTGTGATAGGTATCCTTAACTATTTTACACTGTCAGCCACACATCAGTTAGACTGTCGGGCTCCTCTGACTTTTGGGGTACAATGCTGACATGTTAGAGAGCATGGCACAACAGCACAACAGCAATGCAGGTTTCAACACAGCTATGTCCAGTGTGCCTGCTGGTTTAGAGAGGTGGCCCAGCCCTGGCAGAGTAATGTTCTTGGTGCACGTCTTAAGGTATCTTCTTCTGACAGTTCATGTCAATACCATGATCCATTCAGAGACAGATGCACAGGGCTGACGGGGTGCTCTGTCAGGTCAACATCACTGTAATGACAGTGAGACTAAGTAGCTTAAAAATGTAGCCAAGCAAAGACCCTGGCCTGTCTACCTGAATGGCAGGCTATAAGGGCTGCCTGTTCATTTCCACGGCTACAAATTGTTAGTTGTGGAAATACTGGTGAAGCATGCCCAGTGAAAGATAAAAAGAGATCTCTGAAGAGAGCAGTTTATATATGTCCTTAGAAAGCTGGCAGGACCTAGGTCTCCTGCTGGCAAATGTTTAGGAGAAGATTTCCAAGGATTATCTTCAGCATCCTCATATTACATTGTACTGGGTCTGGCTGAACTGGAATTGGTTTTCCCCTACAGCAGCCCTCACGGTGCTGTGGTTTATGTCGGGAGCTGGCAGGGTGTTGATAGCACCCTGGTGTTGTGGCTACTGCTGAGCAGTGCTTACACAGCACCAAGGCTCTTTCTGATATTTCCCCCAGTGGAACGGGGTGGGCAAGATCTTGGGAGGGGACACAGCCAGGACAGCTGACCCAAACCGACCAAAGGGATATTCCATACCATATGACGTTTGCTCAGTATAAAGCTGGGAGGAAGGAGGAAGGGGGGGGGGTCACCCTTGGTCCTCCGAAGCAACCACTACGTGTATTGGAGCCCTGCTTCCTGAGAAGGCCCGACATCGCCTGTCCATGGGAAGTAGAGACTAAATCTGTTTGCTTTTGCTTCCGCGCGCGGACTTTTGCTTTGCCTTGCTTATATTAAAACTGCTTTTGTTTCACCCACAAGGGTTAGTTTATCTTCTTTCCCCTCTTTACCCTATTGAGAAAACAAGGGGAAAAAGGGGGGGGAAGTGATAGAGCGACTTGGTGGATACCTGGCATTTAGCCAGTCAAACCATCACATACATGTAAATTGCAACCACAGAAATGTACTATTAAAAAGTGGAAGCCTTAAAACAAAAAAATCTCACTATAAATACTAAGTGTTTTGTCTTTGCAACACTCTCTGGATGATTATTATAATTAATATCATTATTAGTATCATTATAACATTTAAGCTTTTATTGAGTATTCTGTAATGGCCAGGGACTTTACTGTGATCCACTTAAGAGCTTGCCTAGAAAGCCATGGGTATGTAACTATGCTACTCGAGTTTATGAACACAAGGGTTGGACTGGACTCAATGGTAGATGTAGTTAGAGCTGCCACTGCTGAGATACGAATACCAAAAGCCTGGCGCCTCTGAGAAACGCCTTCTACCAACGTACAGCTTAATCTGTATGTGAACGGTAGCTCCAGCAGCAGCCCATAGTTAGTCCTTTCTAGTCCAATCTATGGCAGGTCACACTGCAAGGTTGATGGCTGTCACCTGGCACTTCATCCTCCCCCGCACAGAAGAATGAACAGAGACTGAGCTCTGCCTGCTGCAATGCACTGGAGACTGTGCACTGCTCTAATCCAGGGAGGTGAGCAGGAACACGAGGTTTCTATGCCAGCTGTTTGTCTGCCACAACTTATTTCCCCAGCAGAGCAAGAGAGAAGCAGGAGTCAAACAGAAATGTGACAACGAGTCACAATTCAGTCCTTATTTTGCTGCTGAGAGTGTGCAACTACATATTTCCTCTGTCTTGGAGCAGGCTGCAAGGAGACAGGCTAGCCCCGAGGCCACACACAACTTGTCAGTGACAAAATCAAAATTAGCTTCTGGATTTCAGTCCTTTTCTCAGGCTATTTGATAACTACAGAGAAGTTTTAAGATGTGAACCATTTCAAAAGGCAGATTTCATAAGATATGTATGCTTGAAGATTAGTATACGTGAAACTGATAATGTATGAGAAATAACACACAAGAGCCAGAGGGTAAAATCATAATGACTTCATGAGTGTGATGGCCAGAAGCAAACAACAGTCTCCAGTTGGCAAAAAGTTTAGCAAAGTTACACTACAGGCAAGAGGGAGATAGCTACTTCTCATGGTAATTCTTGAGTTACTGCTAGAGGTGCAAGTTGTGCCGGCTGCAAAAGGGGCCTAGATAAATAGATTAGATAATTCATTTGGAAGACTAAAGGCATGTGAGGTGTTTCCTAGCCTTCAGTTAGACTGCTGTTTAAGCACTGAGTTAGGAGATTTCTATAGAATTTATTTTGCAAATTTGCAAAATGAAAAGATGTCTTCTTTTTCTGGCTTTCAGTGTTGATGAGGAAGAAGACAGTGTACCTTTTGCAGCGGGGTAAGGAAAATATAACCGTTTTGGCAATGATTTTTTTTAAGGAATCAGTCTGCTCTTGTTCATAAGTACCAGGCAAAGTCAACAGCCTAATTACCTGGAGAGACAAAAAGTCAGAAAACACAGGACTGTCTGTAAAAAAGTAAGACTTTGAGTGGAACAGAAGATCCAAATTCTCACCGAAATTCCTTAAAATTTGGATTGCCGTTTGCCTGTGGGCCTGAACTACTGAGCTGCTTAGTTTGGCTGCAGCCTCAGTGCTCTCTCACAGCCTACTGAGGCAAACAAGTGTGAAGCCAAATTCGTCAGCCTGTTTTATGTTTAAGAATTTATGGGCAATGTTACTCGCAGCTGTTATGGTATCTATGCATGTTCAGTTGGTACAGAGAAACTCTTTTATTACCTTAGGTAACCCCTTAGAAAGTAAGCTAGCTATGGACAGCAGGAAGCCTTAAA